GTGGGACTCCAGAGGCACACTCTGTCCCACTGGCACCCTGTCCTGACTCCAGATGCAGGGACAGTCCTCACAGAGCATCCCCGGTGCTGACCAGTGACTGGACATCACTCACAGCTGGCCCATGGCTGGGCAGCCTTTCCGGTACAGATGAGACACCATGGGGGCCGATGCCCCGTGGCCTCGCAGGGCCACAGGAGGGAGGAGGCAGTCCCTCTGGCTCCCTGTCCTCCATGGGACAGCTGGGCCCAGCACTCCAGATGACACGTGTGCTCTTGAGGCAGCTCCTGTTCCTACTTACTGTGGAAACTGAGGTTGAAGAGCCGTGTTCAATCACATTTCAGGGTGGATTTCAGCTGTGTTCAGTCCCGGGCCACCCCGCCAGACAGCACCAAAGGAGGCAACAGCAGCAATCTAAGTGGCCTAGAAGCCACGTCCACACAGGGTCTCCTCTCCCAGTCAAATTAGAGATGCCCCCAGGGCCTTGGTGCCAGTCACACCTGAGGAAGGCCAGCGCTTGGTGTCTGGGTGGCTTTGACAACAGCAGGCCTGTGGGCTCGGCCGTGCCGAGCAGGTCAGGTGGTGCCCTGTGTTGGTTCACGGCCAGCTCCCTGGGGCCGGCATTGGCTGCCCCGGCCAGAAGTTGTGGGCGGGGAAGAGGAGGAGGAGAGGCTTGAAAGCTGGGCCCACAGGCACACCCTGCAAGGTAGGCAGACGGCTCCACCCGCGCCTTGGCCAGCAGCCGCGTGTCAGGGTACTGGGGAGAAGGCAGGCAGGTAGGGACCCTCACACCGCTGCCAGCCCAGGTGGGGAGAAGGGGCAGGATTGTAACCCCTCCTCCCGGGCGGGAAGGGCAGGTGGGCACGAGAGGAGTGGGGACCAGGACAGTGCGGCTTTGGCCACACCCTGCCTCTTGCCTCAGTTTCCTTATCTTTAGCAGGGAGGATCCCCGCTTCCCTGGGCTGTGGAGGGCCGGCCCCACTGTGGGTGAGGTGGGGCATTCTGGAAGGGGCTGCCCAGTGCTGGAAGATGGTCTGGGCAGGAGGGCCAGCCCCACGGGCTCTGGATCTGAGACTTCAGGGACAGTGTCTGGCCGGCAGCCTGCAAAGGCAGGTGTGGCTCAGAAGCCGAGGGTGAGGGGAGTGGGGCAGTGGGAGAGATCTGGGGTCACCAGGTCACTACTGTGTCCTCTCGCCACCACTTCCCTGAGTGGTGTCCTCCACTGCAGCCCAGGGAGATGTGGCATCCTCATAGGGAGGACACAGGGACACACATCTGACTTCCTGCCTGCTGCATGCAGGGACCGTTCTGGCACCTTCCCCTTGTGACTCGCCGTTCCCCCAAATCTCACAAATGAGACAGGCCCAGGGAGGCTGAGGGACCCGCCCGAAGTCACACAGCCTGGTGGGGATGAGCGGGGCTGGGACCCCAGGACCTGGCCATCCAGTCCTGTCCTGCACTGGTCCTGGGAGGCCAGGGAAGCCATGTTTGGCTCTGGCTGTCTCTGGGATGGCTGTGGCTACGGGTGCCCCACTGCCCTGACAGCCCCAGCACCTTCACTGCCCGGGGCGCTGCCTCAGTGTTGCCTCTTGGGAGTTCTGAGATGGGCTTCTGGCCAGGGGTCACGAAGGCCCCTGGCTGTCCCCGGCTCCCTGCCCCACCCTGGGATGCACACGGAGGGGTGCGGAAGACCTGGGCACCTGCTCATGCAAATCCCGGCTGTTTGCATTGCCTCCCTCTGGGCCCATTTGCCTGGTGCCCAGCACCTGCCCAAATGCCTCCTCAGCCCCTGGGCTGGCCGGTGGGTGTAGGGGGCGCCGAGCCTGGGTGTGGGGCAAGGGGTGGTTGCGGCCACCGGGAAGGTAAGGCTGCCCCACGCTGCTGCTGGGCTTCCCTGACCTCAGCTGCCGGGCGCCTAGCTCTGCCCCGTCCTCGGGAGGAAAGAGGTGCTGTGGGCCCTGGGAAAGGCCAGAGCTTGGGTTGTGGCTGCTTCCACCTCTAATGGCTGCTGCTCTTCCCCCCGGGGGGCTTGCACAGAGTCGGGGAGGCGCTGCTGAGCTCCAGGCTGTAGGGTGCTCATGGGCGTCCTATCCCAGAACTTCCAAGAGGCAAAACTGAGGTTCACTGGAGAGGAATCCAAGGGTCAGGGAGCCCCGTAGGACCCCTCCCAAGGCCCAGGCCCCCATTAGCTTCCCCAGCAGGGATGAAGGGAAGAGAAGAGGGAGTCCCCCATCTACGGCCTAAGAGTCATTGGGAAGGTAAGGATAACAGTGTTGTCCAGCCCAGCCTCGTCCCCCAGGCTGAGGGTCATGGCCAAACCCCAACCCCTACACCCTGTGCTGGGAACAAGTCTGGCCATGCATCCCCAGCCGCAGGGCACATGTCCAGATGTAGCCAGGATTGACCCCAGCGGGTGGCCAGGTGTGGCAGGGCCTGGTGAGAGTGAAGTCCAGCCTGAGGACCCCTGCCCAGAGTGAGGACTCCCGCCCAGGGCTGCAAGCACGCATCCCACCTCACTGCCTGTTCTGTGTTAAGTGGTGTCCTCCCAGACGAGGCGACACTAATGGTGGGATACTGTCCACTGCGAAGCTTAGAATGTGACCTCATTTGGAAGTGGGGTCCTTGCACACTGGGGTAGGGCAGGCCTGGGCACTCAGTGATGGCAGAGGAGACAGACAGGCGAGGTGGACCGCACGCCAACCAAGGCGGAGGCTGGAGCCACGTGGCCACAGCCAGGGACACCTGGCGCCTTGGGAACCTGGAAGGGGTGGGAGGGACCCACCCGAGAGCTTCCAGAGGGAGCACAGCCCTGCCTGCCGATGCCTGGATTTGGGATGTCTGGCCTCTAGAGCTATGAGATCATCGTTTGTTGTTTTGAGCCCCCGAGGGTGTGGCCCTTTGTTTCAGCAGCCCTGGGACGCAACAGCAATGCCAAGCCTTATCCCAGCCTCCAGCCCCCACCTAGGGCCTGGCCACAGACACGAGCTTCCAACACTGAAAACCGCCAAGCGTCTCCACCAGCGCGGGAGGCCGTATTCAAATACTGCCTCTCTGCGGTCTGCGGCTGGTTCGTGCTCTGCAGGCAGGAAGTGCGGGAGGATTTGCATTACCCTGCAGGGAAGGCTGAGGCCCACGTGGTGCCGACAGCATCAGGGCGCCTCCGCAGGCCTGGCTGGAGGAGGGGGCTGAGGTCCGTGAGTGGGTCCTGCCTGGGGCTGGCAGTCACCAGAAGTCGTGCCAAGCTTGACTTGGGCCTCGCACAGGGACCCTGGGCAGCCGTGACAGCAGCCTGAGCTGGGCATCTTAAAACAACGGCAATTGATTTTCTCATGGTTCTGGAGGCCACCAGCGCTAAGTCCTAAGTCAAGGTGTCGGCAGGGCCAAGCTCTTGAGGGGGATCCTCCCTGCCTCTTCCAACTTCGGGGCTCCAGGTGTCCCTTGGCCTGTGGCTGCATCCCCCAACCCCTGCCTCCACCTCCCCTGTGTCTTTCCCTGCTCATCTGTCTCTATGTCCAAATGTCCCCTTTTTATATCAGAACCTGGGAATCAGGGTTCCCCCTGCTCCAACATGGCCTCATCTTAACTTACATCTTAATCACATCTGCAACGGGCCTGTTTCCAAAGGTCGCATTCCCACGTACTGGGGTTTGGGGCTTGGACGTATCTGTCTGGGGACGCAGTAACTGTGCTGGCTCCACAGGCCTAATGGGGAGGGCCTTGGCCTTAGCCTCTGCCCCAAAGCCAGCCCCCCACCAGGGGTCCCAGGACATACTCCCTCTCATACCTGAAGGTCCCCTCAACTCCTATGTCCCCTCCTGAGGTCACAGGTGGGCCCCTTTCTAGGAAATGAAAGGTTTTACAGAACGGTCCATTATCTTCTCACAAAGGGCCTTCTGTGGTGGGCACAGCCCAGAGCGCCTGGGCACAGGGTGGGCACAGGATAACCAAGGGACAGTTCTGTGGGATCAGGAGCTGCCAGGTAGCCCCAGGTTGGGGAGGGTAGTGTGACTGGGGGCCCAGGGAGACCTCTGCCCGGTGGCCTGTGACCTGGCGCATGGTTCCAGGAGGGCAGACAGCGGAGCAGGTGCCCTCTGCCTGCCAGGGCTTGTCCTCAGACACTCAGCTTCCAATATTGAGTTTTCAGACAAGCAATCAGAAGCAGGTGGGGCCGAGCCAGGCCGAGATCAGCCAGACTGGGGCGGCTGAGAGATGAGGCCGTGGGCAGGGATGGAGCCAGGACACTGAGGGGACAGCCCCGATCCTCGGATCCCTGCCACATAGAGAGGGGCTGAGATGCCCGACCTCACCGGGCAGCTGGGAGACGTGAGCCCCGTGAGGGCTGAGGTGCACGAGGCCTCTTCTCCCTGATCTGGGAGCGCTGAGGGAAGAGCTCTGCCGCTGATGCTGTGTGGGCCTGGGTGAGGCCTCCCCTCTGTGTGTCCTGGACCTCCTGGGCAAGGAAGGTGGTCCCTTGTCCACACCGCCTCCTGCACCTGAGCTGAGGGCACCTGCCTCACCTTCTCACCTCTGCTCAGGTGCACCCAGGGGCTCTGCATCCCTGTCCTGGGAGTGAGTGGGCTGTGTGGCCAGGGGGCTGCAAGGCCTCTGCTGAGTCTTCCAGAGTTTCCAGGTCATCCCCGCAAAAGGCCTCTGGAGAATCGTCTGCAGGTGTGGCTGACCTGAGGTGCCCAGAGTGGGGTGAGTAGAGGAACCAGGAGCCAGTGGCAGAGCCCCACACATCCCATCCTCACCTGGAAAGGAGCTTGGTTGGGGCGGTGCTACAGCAAGAGACAGAGCTGCAGGGGGTCGCTGGGCAGGGCCCGTCTGGAGAGAAGATCCCTGGGGCAGAGATGCCTGGGGCAGTCCCCAGGTCTCCTTGTGCATGTCGGCTGGAGAGGGGCTTCCTAGGGGAAGGCAGCACCCACCCCCTGAGAGGAGGGAGGCAGGGATGGGCATTCCCAGCCCTCAAGGGCCGGGGTATCCCTGCATCTCTAGAGGCCGTCATGCAGGATGTCCAAGGCCCCCGTACCGGAAGCCCCGGGGATGCTGAAGACCGGCAGGGGCTAGGCTTGCACAGGGGCGAGGTCGACTTTGGAGGGTCTGGGAAGAAGCGAGGCAAGGTAGGGGCAGTCCCCAGGCCTCGGGCGATGTCTGTGTTGACCTGGAACCCATGAGCCCCCATTTCCTTCCCTGGAAGCTGAGTGCCAGGGTCCTCCCCACCCCTGGGGTCTGCTCCCCGGGGGCCATATTCAGACCCCCAGACAAGCAGAGTTCCAGAGCTGGAGGGAGTGGCTCTGGCCAGCCTCCTACCTCCCTGCGATAACCGGGACCCCTGAGGTCCCCCCGAGAGATTCGGAGGTGCAAGGTTAGGTGCATCCAAGGCCCCACCTCTGACCAGTGCCCTCAGCTCACTGAGGCGGATGCCAGCCCAGAGAGGGGTCAGGACTCTTCAGGTCACACGGCAGGTCAAAGGAGGACTGGCTCTGTCCCAAAAGGGGTATTGGGGGCCACTCTCCTCCTGCTACCTGCCACCAGGAACCAGCACCTCCCCAGTGCCCCCTGTGTCCAGCCCCCTTGATGCCCAGAACCTCCCCAGTGCCCAGTGTTCCCTCGTGTCCAGCGCCCTTGATGCCCAACACCTCCCTAGTGCTGAGTGCCCCCCATGTGCAGCCCACAAATGCTCAGCACCTCCTCAGTGACTCCTGTGTCCAGCCCACCCCAATGCCCAGCAGTTCCCGTGCCCCGTGCCCCGAAAGCCCTGAGCTGCAGCCCCCGCCTTGCAGTTTGTACGGGTGCTGAGCGGAGTGGCCCCATCTGTGCTCTTTGATCTGCTGCTTGCTGAGTGGCACCTGCCAGCCCCCAACCTGGTGGTGTCCCTTGTGGGTGAGGAGCAGCCTTTCGCCATGAAGTCCTGGCTGCGGGACGTACTTCGCAAGGGGCTGGTGAAGGTGGCTCAGAGCACAGGTGAGCCCCCACCCTCACGGCAGCCCGAGGCCCTGACTCTCCACCCCACCCGGCACGGGCAGCGCTCCCACCCCACACAGCGGCCTGAGGCCCTGACTCTCCACCCCACCTGGCAC